AAATCTAAGAAGTCAAATTATAATTGTTCTTTTCTGTATTCTAATTATTTGCAATGATTGAACATTATAATCATTAGTAATATAATGATATTATAGAGAAAGTAAATGAGGATATATATCCAAGGATATTACTGCAGCTTTTTGAATAATTTTAGGGGAAAAATTCATTAAGGGAATGATTCCATAAATTATGACACAGACTTAAATGTGCCATGATGGAATAGTATGCAGCCATTTAAAAGGATGGATGTTGGCCAGTGAGGTGGCTCTCACCAGAAGTCCCAGCTACTTGGCAGGCTGAAGTAGGAGGATCGCTTGAGCCCAAGAGTTTGAGGGTGCTGTGAGATATGACACCACTACTCTACCCAGGGCAACAGAGTGAGACTCTGTCTCCACAAAACAAAACAACTAAACAAACAAACAAAAACCCTGCTTAGGAGGAGTAAGAAAGGATTTCTTAAATAAAATCATAAAGTACAACCTATAAGACAAAAGTTTGATAGATATATTACAGAAGGATTTCTGCTTAATTACGGAAACAATAGACAAAGTTAATAAACATGAAAATTTGGGAGAAGGTATTTTATATATCTAACACCAACCAAGAATATTCTCTAGTACATATAAGGGATTCCTGCAAATCAGCAGCCACAGCGCAAAGGTGGGAACTCCATTAGCGAAATAGACAAAGCATATGGTAGTTCGCAAGATAGGTGCTAAGAAATAGATGAAGAGTGGCTCGGCGCCTATAGCTCAACCGGCTAAGGCGCCAGCCACGTACACCTAAGGTGGCGGGTTCGAATCCCCAGCCCGGACCCGCCAAACAACAATGACGGCTGCAACCACAAAATAGCCGGGTGTTGTGGGGGGCGCCTGTGGTCCCAGCTACTTGGGAGGCGGAGGCAGGAGACTCGCTTGAGCCCAGGAGTTGGAGGTTGCTGTGAGCTGTAATGCCACGGCACTCTGCCCAGGGGGACAGCTTGAGGCTCTGTCTCAAAAAAAAAAAAAAAAAGAAATAGATGAAGAGCTGTTAGAATGATTACTATCTACAGAAATAAGCAACAATGATTATTATATATGACCACCAAAATATCCTAAATTGGAGAGCTGCGTCATTGCCAAGTTTTGGCAGGAATGAAGGGATGGAGGGGTGAGAGCAGCTCGGGCTCATCAGTTACAGTTCAGCTTTTCCAACTGGATTCTGGCTCCAGTGGTTTCTGCTTCTGGTAAGCTGTGATACTCTGTATTTGTCTGTCTTTCCTGTTTTCAGGGCATTGGTTTGCCCTGTGACCTTAATTTTCTGATGAATACAGGAAGCATTGTGGCTTTTCAGTTTGTTCAGCCTCCTTTCTTGCTGTAGGGAGGGAGGGAGCTGCAAGGCAGCAGCTGGGGTGTGTGTGACACGTGGGAGCGCTAGGGCTCAGTGGCTAGGGGCCATAGGACCAGTGACTATGGGGTGGCTTTTGTTCTGCGTGGTCTGGGTGAGGCCTTAGTCTTAATGAAATCTATGCCTCTTAGAGATTAAGGGTCAGTAATTAAGATGTTTGGGAATCAGGCGAGTGGGTTTCCTGGGAGAGAGTAGATGGAGGCAATTCTGGATCAGCGTTTGTTCATCAAATGCTGGGCTCAAGGTTGCTAAGCATGGGATGCAGTGATTAGGAGCCGGTGCAAGTCAGCAAATGGAACATTCTGCAGAGGTCATTTATTGGGTTGGTGATTTGCAGTCTAGCAATGTCAATGATGGCACCTCTAGTTGTGAGAAATAGAACATATAATTCCCGGACATCTAAAAAAACTTCTTGGTTGTAGGGGAAGACTGCATTGTTATCTTGGCCTCCCAAAGACCAGATGCCAGTAGCATCACCATTCCCTCACTGGGAAAACCAAAAATGTATCTACAGGTCTTGCCAAATGTCCCTAGTGGGGGGCAAAATTGTCCCCTGGTTAAGAGTCACTGCTCTAAAAATAAGGTCAAAGAATCACACTGACTATGAATGATTAAACTCATCTAATAATGATAGAGAATCTCAGACTGGATCTATGAATGAAATACAGCTATATCCAATTTAGAATGGAAAGACTGAGAATGTAGTGGGAAGATTAAAAATAACATGGAAGCTATTTTTTGCAAGCATATTAGGTCTGCTTCTGCAGTTCTTTGTTGCCCTACATATTCCAATTTGGAAAGTGACTGCATTTCTAGACGTTAAAGGCCACAGGAATTCAGTTCTGGAATATAGAGGAGATAATGCTGGAGTATCTGCAGTCAAATTTAGGGAGAGTGTGCGGTTGATGAGAAAGTATGGAGTCATACGTAACCACGCTGTTAGCAGGCAACAGATGTTTCATGTTGAGGAGGTCTGTGAAGACACAAGCATCCCTGCCCTTGAACATGGTTTTGATTTTAAAATGAGGTTTGGAGTTGCTTGCAGGTAAGTTGCTTTCTTCTGCCTTTTTTCTTCTTTTTTTGCTTGTATAAAACTTATACGGCAGAGGCTTGACGCCCATAGCTCAGCAGTTGGGGCACCAGCCACATACACCAGAGCTGGCAGATTCGAACCTGGCCCAGACCTACTAAACAATGACAACTACAACAACAACAAAAATAGCCAGTTATTGTGGCAGACGCCTGTAGTCCAAGCTACTTGGGAGGCTGAGGCAGGAGAATTGCTGCCTTAAGCCCAAGAGTTTGAGGTTGCTTGAGCTATGACACCAGGGCACTCTACCGAGGGCGACATAGTAAATCTCTGTCTCAAAAACAAAAACAAAAACAAAACACAACATACAGCAGACTCTGTTCCTGGCATGAAGGAGTAAGGAGACTGGCAAACCTTCTCCCCAAAAGGCAACTCTAAAAACTGGGTAGGGGGGTGTCCAAAGCAACTGTTTCAATGCTCTGGAATTCAACCAAGTACATAGTACAACCTCAGAGGTGTTTTATTCACAAAAATCATTCAATTTTGGCAGCCATCAGTGCAGTCGGTGGTAAGGATTTTTTCCTGTGTGAAATCTTCTCCTTTTGGTGCCATGGTTCAACCAGGGCAGGGCAGTCTAGGCCAGGCTATGAAAACAGCATTCTTCACTGCTGCTGCTGGAGGGGGCTAACAGGATTTGGAAATGTGGTCAGTTTAAGCGACTATCTCTATGGCAAGCAAATGGAGAGGGCCAGCAGCAAGTAAGCTTCACTCGACAGCCTATTCAGGGCAAGCAATGGACTTGTCTGCTAGGAAGTCATTGTGGAGATCTGGGAAGCAAAATAGCCTTGTAGGACTTGGCAACCTCACCCTATATCTTGGGCAGAGTGGAGGCTGCGCCCGTGGGTGGCAGAGCAGGGCAGACCCAAACCGCCACATATCCCTGACCTGCTGAGCCTGCAGGCGCACAGGGGAGGCATGAGCAGGCCCAGCAGAAAGCAAAAGCCAGGGCTTATAAAAAGGCCTGAAGTTTGGATGTGATCCCCAGCAGGACAGCAAGTCAGACATGGCTTGACATGTTTGAACACAACCTCTGATCAATCCGTGACTGATCGCAAAGCTGTACAGACCCGGGATGACCCCTAGAGAGCCAGCCTTACATACACAACACACAAAAAAAATTTGAGCAAAGACATCAAGGCCGCAGCTTGCATGGATGACAGACTTCCCGATTTCATTCAGCTATAAAGATCTGGACAACATCCTTAACCAGTTATTTGATGGATTGAAAAATAAACAGGAGGACTAAGGAGAAGACTGGAATTTGCAGTACCACTGAAATGGTGGCATTCATCATTTTTTCCTCCAGGATTCTCCTGCTTGAACTGAATGCAAGTCAGAGCCCAGAAGTGCGTGTGGTGCTACAGGCAGAGAGGGATCCAGAAGAAGCCCTTTAGCTCTGACTTGAGAAATAGAAAGATAGGAAAAAAAAAAACCCTCTTAATGCTCAACGGGAGTGTGGAAATCGCCCAGTATTTTCTTTTTCTTTTCTCTGGTCTTCTGTGCCCAGGCCTCTAAGCAATCTCATGGTAGCAGTGGCAGTGGCCATACAAGATCTCATAGGAGCCAAAACTCTGAAGAAGAGGAGTATTCCTTTGCAGTCTATGGAGTTATTGACCCAGGAAGGTGAGGTCTACCTCCCATCCTGAAGGGAAGAACTTGGTAAGGCAATCTCATAAGATTGTGAACACCAGGGCTCATCCTCTTCCAGAACATGCATAGAACTATTCCTGATTAAAATTCCAAAGTCTGGCCAGGCATGGTGGCTCAGGCCTATAATCCTAGCACTCTGGGAGGCCAAGGCGGGTGGATTGCTGGAGCTCAGGAGTTCGAGATCAGCCTGAGCAAGAGCAAGATTCCCAACTCTACTGAAAATAGAAAAATTATCCACGTGACACTGGGGGTGCCTGTAGTCCCAGCTACTCAGGAGGCTGAGGCAAGAGGATTGCTTGCATCCATGAGTTTGAGTTTGAGGTTCGTGTGAGCTAGGATGCCATTGAACTCTATCCAGGGCAACAGAGTAAGACTGTTTCAAAAATGAATAAATAAAAATAAAAAGGAGACATTATCTTGGATTCTCTGGATAGGCCCAATGTCATCATTAAGTAGGAAAGGGTAACAGAAGAGGGAGAACCAGAGGGATAACAGAGAGAGGAGGACTCAATCCTCTGTTGCTGGTTTTGAAAGTGGAGGAAGAGGACCAGAGGCTAATGAATGTAGATCCCTCTAGAAGCTGGAAAAGGTAATGAAATATATTTTCCCTTCAAACCTCCAGAAGGAATGCAGCCTTTCTGACATACTGATTCTGACTCAGGGAGACCCATTTTACATTTCTGACCTCCAGAATGCTAATGTTTTGTTTTAAGCCAGTCATTTTGTGGTAATTTCTTATAGCAGCAATAAAAACAATACATATCTTGGCACCAAACATAAGCTGCTGCTGTAACAAACACCTAAAATGGCTTTAGAATTAGGCAGTGGACAGAGGCTGGACAAATTTTGGGAATATGATAGAAAAAGCCTACACTGGTGTTCCGTCGGTTTTACCACAGTGAGCTCCATCGGCACCGGGTATGACCTGTCTGCCTCTACATTCTCTCCTGATGGAAGAGTTTTTCAAGTTGAATATGCCATGAAGGCTGTGGAAAATAGTAGTACAGCTATTGGAATCAGATGTAAAGATGGTGTTGTCTTTGGGGTAGAAAAATTAGTCCTTTCTAAACTTTATGAAGAAGGTTCCAACAAACGTCTTTTTAATGTTGATCGGCATGTTGGAATGGCAGTAGCAGGCTTATTGGCAGATGCTCGTTCTTTAGCAGACATAGCAAGAGAAGAAGCTTCCAACTTTAGATCTAACTTTGGCTATAACATTCCACTCAAACATCTTGCAGACAGAGTGGCCATGTATGTCCATGTGTACACGCTCTACAGTGCTGTGAGACCTTTTGGCTGCAGTTTCACGTTAGGGTCTAACAGTGTGAATGATGGTGCACAACTCTACATGAGCGACCCATCAGGTGTTTCATACGGTTATTGGGGCTGTGCTATTGGCAAAGCCAGGCAAGCTGCAAAGACAGAAATAGAAAAGCTTCAGATGAAAGAAATGACCTGCCGGGATATTGTTAAAGAAGTTGTGGCTCTGCGCCTATAGCTCAACCGGCTAAGGCGCCAGCCACGTACACCTAAGGTGGCGGGTTCAAATCCCCAGCC